CCTTCTAGGCGGCCTCGTGCCTCAGAGCCTTACCGGCCTCCCCCCAGCAGCAGCTCAGCTACTGGGCTGTCTGTACTTCCGGCCCTTGGGTGGTTTTCACCTTAACCCAGGGGTACGAACCGCAGTTCCGGCCCCTAGCCTTCGGCCGGGCCAAAATGACAGTAGTCAGCGATCCGGCAGATGCCCTAGCTCTAGCCCAAGAGTTGTCCGTCCTTCTGCCCAAGGAGGCAATCGAGCCAGTAGACCCTCTGCTTAGCCCAGGGGGTTCTACTCTGCGTACTTTCTCGTGGCCAAGAAAGTCGGCGGATTTCACCTGCTCTTGGACCTCAGAGGAATCGACAGATTCCTCGAGGTGCTGCCATTCCATATGCTGACCGCAGCACATGCACAGGGGGAGTGGTTCGCAACCGTGGACTTTAGGGATGCCTACTTCCTCGCGGGCTGGGCAAGAGGGTGCCTGATATTCAGTTCCTCCGGCCCTTGGGCAGACTGACGGCTGCCTCAGCCGTTGGGCCCTTAGGCCCGCTGTCGTTGTGCCCCATGCAGATGTGGCTGATCAGCCTTCTCTTGGATGCCAAGTGGCACAGGCACAGGAAAGTCAGAGCGTTGCAGCGTTGTCTCCACTCTCTGTCACGCTGGAGGGGCAGGGTCTATCTCCTGATGGGCGTGCCCATGGGCGCCATCCCATCCCGCCAGGAGACCGTCACCATAGGTGCATGTCTCTTAGGGTGGGGTGCAGTGCGGCAGGGCAGGACCGCTCAGGGTCAGTGGTCTGCACGCCATGTCAATGTACTAGAGCTTCGGGCTGTGCAGCTTGCACTCACGTACTTTCTACCCCAACTGAGGGGCAAGAATATGCATGTTCCTTGGGACAGCAGGTACACTGTTGCCCAGACGGCAGTCCCTTCTAGAGAGTGGACGTTCTCACTCCACTCTGAATTATGTGGCTGCTATTTCTGCCCGACATGTTCGGGTCGACAGCGCCACGGCGGGGTGCCGCAGGTCGGTGTCCCTCTTCCTGAAGAGGGGCTTTACGGCAGCGTCCCCCTAGCACCCCGAGGGCTCCGGCTTGGGACCTGCCCCTGCTGCCGGATGCCCTATCATCTCCTCCCTTCGAGCCCCTGGCCCAGGTGGGGCTTTGGTGGCTGCCCACGAAGGCAGCATTTCTGCTTGCCATGGCCTCAGGGAGGCAAGTCGGGGAGTTACATGTCATCTCCATAAACGATACATGCCCGAGGTGGGACTCTCAGGTGTTGCCCTTGGCATTCCTGCCCAGGGTGCTTCCACAAACCCACTTCAATCAGCCTGCCCAGCTGGCACGCTTTGACATTCGGGAGAACGGCACGTCGAAGTTGCTGTGCCCTGTGGGTGCCCAAAGGGCGAATATCGAGGCTACTGCCTGTATACGGCAGTCGGAGCAACTCTTGTTTTTGCCATAGCGGCACTAAAGGAGGTGTGCCCTCTACCAGTGGCTGCCCCACTGGGTCGTCGATACCATCTCACATGCCTACGGGGCCAGTGGCCGCCCCCGGCCATCTGGGCTGAGATACCACTGCAAGGAGCATCTCAACATCTTGGGCTGCCCCGAGAGGGGCGCCCCTGGAGACCATCTGTGCCGCGGCGTCGCGGGCGTCTTCTGGCACATTCTCCAGTTATCGGGTTAATGTCGCCACTCCCCATTCTTTGGGCGTGGTCCTTTTGCCGAGCTCCGCTGCTTCCAGTAGTGAGCCAGGGCTTGGATTCTTCATGACATGGTTGGTATAAGTCATCCAGTGCTAAAAGCACCGCCTCTGGCGGTCAGTAGGGACGAAATAGAACGATAGTTACGGCTGTAACTACGGTTCTATGAGTCCCGGATGACCGCCAGAGTTTCCTGTCACTCAGAACTCTTGTGTGCTCGCGAGAAGATTCTGGGAACAGATCCTCTGATGACACCGGCTGATATAGCCGGTGTCACGTGGGTCACAGGTGACTTTGTTGATATTGGTACTCGTACTGCGCATGCGCACGATGGACATATCCAGTGCTAAAAGCACCGCCTCTGGCAGTCATCCGGGACTCATAGAACCGTAGTTACAGCCGTAACTATCGATATAATCTATCTATATGGCGCTGGCTAAGATAAGATAACTTTAACAAGATGCCTGTGTGCTTAGTACCAGGTTGTTATTATACCAGCAATGGGTCTTGCTCGTTCTTTTGCTTCCCGTCTGATGAAAGGACCAGCAGTGGCTTTATCAAGTTAGCTACCTAGCTAGTAGCTAGCACGTTAGTTAGCATTACAGCCTTGTCATTTTTATTAGCCTTAACATGAAGTAACATTAAGTAACCCAAAATGTTAAACAGTAAGAGTAGTAGTCATATTTCGTGAACCCTTTGAATAGTACTGTCACCGGTGTGATCATTCTATAATACACCATTTAAGCCCGGGGGAGAAATGCTAACGCTAACGTTAGCATCGGCGATCTTCTCTACTTCATGCTATCTGCACAAATGGTTGACATTAAACATTAAAACGACCAGGCAGTTCAGAGAGAATCAAAGGAAGGCAGGCAGGCAGGCAGGCAGGCAGCTTTGCATGACATTCTTCAGGACGTGTTTCATTGTGGTGATAGTGAGGGTAGTCAATCGTTTTGTTGACAAGACAGTAGTGACGGCCATCTTGGTGACGTGTGTTGTTGACCAGAGATGTAGTTCATTGAGCGTTTCACACAAACAAATGTGTTACTTCACAGTTTTACGACATTTTTTTTTTTTTGACTTGCAAAATTATCTTTTAAATTGACAAACATCATATGTGTAATTCGTGGCACAATTCAAACGGGATCGAAAGATAATCTTTCTCTCTCCATTGACTTCAATACATAATTTTTCCGAAATAAGGTCCCATGGAGGTCCACCGGAAGGGGAGGGACTTCGCCACTCTATAGAGTATAGAGTATACGATTTTTGGTAATAAGTAGTGAATAAAGGTCTTGATTTGCAATATTTATACAACATACCGATATGTGTATGTATTTACATCAATATGTTTTAAAAAATAAATAGAATCTGCTAATATTTATGGATAATATTAGGAATAGTGTGAACAGCTAATTTACTTGTTAACATATACATGTTAGGCTGTTGCCTTGGTTAAAGAGCCTGTTGCTGTTGTGTATTGCTTTGAATTATTTAAAACAAATATTATCTTCTTAAACAGGTATGGTAGTCAGGTGCATCACTTCCTAATGTTTATTGATATATTTAGAGGGAGGGGATGGCAAGGAATGCTTCAAAATGTAGATTAGATTAATTTCTACCATTTTTTTAATTCATGGTGGTTTCAGTAATCCCATGGTACTTGAGGACATAAGTAATCTAAATGACTAATGTCATCTTTATGACTTTCAGAAAGGACAGGAGACCAACAGGTGACTATCAATGGACTAGCAGCAACATGATTATGACGTTAAAAGTGTTGTTTTAGGAACATCCATTGTAAATATATGGAATTCAATAAACATTGAATAGCATGTCATGCAGTTTGTCTGTGTCTTTTCCTCCGTGTTGTCCTGGCATATAGTCTCCACCATGGTTTGCTGTGCTGCCTGGGGATGCTCCAATCGCTCAGAGAAAGGAGTAAGAATCAGAATGTACGGCTTCCCCACTGACACAGAGAAGAGGAAAAAATGGCTAGCTCAAGTCAGCAGGAGCAATTTAACAATCAAAACAGACAGCCGCAACAAAATATGTGAGGTAATCATATTCAAACACTGCATTTGCACTTTTTCACAAAACGAAGACCACACCATTGGGAAGCTTAATGTTTGGTTTAATACAAATAACAGGGAAAGGCTTGAAAAACTCTGAGAGTTGAGACTCAGGGTGCAGGGTGAGGGTCTCAGTGCAGGTATTCAAGCTCTATTGAATCCCCCTCTGGTTCTTGTGCTGAAAGAGGGAGAAACAGACAGGAGAAAGGGTTATACACACCTATATAGCACACCTATTGGATGGGAAATTGCCTTGGGGAGATAAGGTGTGGTCTTTGTTTCCAACTGAAGTTATGGAACTTTATTATTTGTGAGTTTAACAAAGTATGACAAATGGCATCAGTAATGGATGTGATATGAATTTGTATAAAGTTGTCTCACATTCTTGGTCGTATTTTACGTACAGTATGTAATGAGTGTATACATGTCCAGTAAGTCCTCCACCTGTAACATCACTGCCCCTCCACCTGCCAGCACCCAGCCAACATCCCTGCTCCTCCACCTGTAACATCCCTGCTCCTCCACCTGTAACATCACTGCCCCTCCACCTGCCATACAGTAGGTTACTAATATGCACTAACAAGATTACTTATATAATACAGTGATAGAATACATGTTTAGTATGCTTACTTATGTAGTATTACATTTACCTTGTATTTTCACTCTCACTTTGCCATCATTTCAAAATCAGCTGAGCTGCAACATAATACAGACAGGTAATAATCAACAGAATACACTAAAAACACTCACCCATAAATTACGTTTTTGTTTACTGTTTGGAAGTCTCAAATATGCACTCTAAATTAATATCAATAGCGATGTATCACACAAATAGCTCTCTTCCTTATTATTGTGTAATGTTAACTTTATTATACTAGTTTGTAGGCCTACTCCAAAATGGAGATCGTAATTTCTCCACCTCCACTCATTACAATCACACGTGCCCCAATGTTATATTTAACTAATATTATATTCCTCCACCCCACAAAAAAATCACGTTTAGAAGCCCTTTTTCTCTAATTCCACAACGTTGGATGAAATAACATTAGGAGAACGGATTAATAGGCTGTTCATGGTTAACGTGTGTTACTAACTTTATCCGGTATCCTAGCCTAATCTGTTATCTGTAAACGTTCCCTAAATCTACTGATTTAGGGATAATCCACTAACATCCTTTAATACACATGTTCATTTGACTCAGATGTGCTGATAATATCCGCAATATAAATCTTTAAACGTCTTCTTACTAGTGATGACGAGATGAAGCCGAGGCTTCGGAGCGTGTGTCGAGTAATCGCCGAAGCTTTCTGTGAAGCCTGTGTCGAGGCTTGTATCATTTGGGGGCCAGTGACGTCATCGATGACAAACGAAGCCTCGTTTGTCGATACCACGTGACTGCTTCAGGAAGCGATTCAGATCTTGGCGCGAGCTTCTGACCAAGCCCCCAGGAAGTGCGCCGGACTCAGATGAAAATATTCGTGCTGGCCAAACGGCGGTACTACACTTCCTTTTGGTTGCCAGGCCCGGAAACACTTTTTCCCATTGACTTACATGGGGAAAGAGTGGTCTGTAAATCGTTGGATAATTTTTTTAAAACTAAATAAACTACCCAGTATGAACACTTGTATAGCCCTTATTAAAAACATTCGTTCCTCAAGTTGTAAAAATGTGCTAATAACGTTATTCTGTGAGTTATTTCCCTCTGCATTATGAATGCGCATCTAACCCACGGGACCGCGCCGCCCGGCACGTTCATGTTACGTGTTCAGCACTACATGCGTTTATCTTTACCCATGGATGCACAATAAGAACGGACCCATATCGCCTTACTGCCAGCCCACGGAGCTGTACTAATGGATATATTGCACATGTTTGCTGTAATTCATCATTTGTAAAATATTATACTACATGGGCTGTATGATTAAATCTTGTACCGTAAATGTTGTATTAAATAAAGTTAATATTACCGACGTAGATTAACGTCCCTGTAGCTTCTTATTGCACTAAGAAGCTTATTGCACTGTATATATATATATATATACATATATATATATATATATATATATATATATATATATATATATATATATATATATATATATATATATATATATATATATATATATATATATATATATTATATATATATACAGTGCAATAATTCTTTCATGCTAAATGAAGCTCTGTTGCTTGGATATCACTAGATCCTGTTACAGCGTAATATAAAAGTACATAACGATTGATGTGTAAATTAGCATAATTACTAGCTAACCGCTAGCTGCTAACTGCCGCCTCGTTAATATCAAATCTATCATAATAACAAACCAAGGCATTACCATGCTGTCATGAACGTGCAGTGCTGTTACGTGTACGCAAATTGACGTGCTTGATGTGAACGAGCATTTTGGGGGGCATGGTTAAAGTTGCGCATGCGCTATGAGCGCACATACGGGTACTTCTCAGGCATGCCGGGTAATCTGTGACGTTTCGCTCTCTCAAAAGTTGGGCCATTTTATCATCATGCGCGAATGAGCAACTCTCATAGGAATGAATGAGGCCCCGCCTCCCACGCTGTATCCAGTTCTTATTATACATCCATGCTTCTGACAGATAAAAAGCCATGGGATTCGATTCAAGATGTGTGATCCTTGTGAGAGGAAAACACTTGTCGTTTTGCCAGTTTTGGTTGTACGATATTTTTGCTACTTGCAAAGTTAGAATGGAGCCAGCTAAGAAGAGAAAGACTTCCCCTATGTGGGAATACTTTGATCAGATTTCACACAATAAGGTAAGGTTTGCATACATGGTTTATTACAACAATGTATTATGTTAGATTTTGTATGGTTCATTTTTTTACTTTTTCTATTTCATTCAAAGGTGAAGTGTTTATTGTGCTCCAGGGAACTGGGGTACAGTAACAATACTTCATCCATGCTAAGGCATTATCGTGCCATGCATGAGATGAAGGAGGGACATGCAGGTGATGCAGGTGGACCTGCTCAAGGTTTGTCATTTAATATTTTGGAATAATATACTATAATATACTATAATTTAACCATGTTAACTTCACTTTATCATGCAAATAAAAGAAAGTTACAAGATACTCATTCTTAACACAGCTTACCCCCCCCCCCCCCCCCCCCCCCAGGTACCAGGCCTACCAGAAAACAGGATCTGGATGAGGCCTTGGTCAACCTGATTGTGAAGGATACACAGCCATTCAGTGTTGTGGAGGATGTGGGATTCAGGGCATTTGTGGCCTTATTGGATCCAAACTATGTCATCCCCAATCGACAGGTGTGTAAGACTTCATGTATAGAGCAAAATTGTTTATTTTTTCATGGCATTTGACAATTAACCAGTGAATTAACCATCCCCTCTTTTAGGCTGTTAAGGCTATGGTGGAGGCCAAGTATGCTCTAGAAAGGAGCAAGGCCATAGCTGACATGCAGAAGGTGGTTGCAGTGAGCTTGACCTCTGGCAAGTTAAACCCTTGTTCTTTTCCAGTTTTCGAACATATATTGCTTCTTTTGTCTTTATAGAAGGCAGCAGACATTTACATTTATTTATGTATAGATGTAACAACAAGATACTATATTGACACATTGTTTTTATTATTATATACAGTCATTTTAAAACACTTACTGGTGTAAAATTCTGTTCATACAGGATGACAAATACATTTGACATCTTTTACCTTTTTGTATCATTATTTCCAGTATTTTTAGTATGTCAAAGATTACAAATAATATGTGGCTGTTTTACACCTGTTCACCAACAGGGGTTTTTGTGAGCACATGAAGCCCATGATGAAGCTTCATGAGATGAACCTTTTAGCGAACCGATTTGCTGGAAAGCTTCAAAGCTTCATGAGGCTTCATCTCGTCATCACTACTTCTTACCTTTAAAAGTCCATCACGAACGGTCTATTATGCTGCAACTCTACTGTGTTGCTGGCCGCAATAGTTCCCCGGAAGTCAGCGGCAAGCTAACTTCCGGGGAACTATTGACGGCTCCACGATCCGCCATTGCTGTAAAAAAACTGGTCCATTGGAGTGAACGGAGATGTCGTAACTCTTCTATTATACGGCTCTGGCATGAAGTAGAGAAGATCGTCGATGCTAGCGTTAGCGTTAGCATTTCTCCCCCGGGCTTAAATTGTGTATTATAGAATGATCACACCGGTGACAGTACTCTTCAAAGGGTTCACGAAATATGACTACTACTCTTACTGTTTAACATTTTGGGTTACTTAATAACTTATATAATATAATAACTTAGTTACTTCATGTTAAGGCTAATAAAAATGACAAGGCTGTAATGCTAACTAACGTGCTAGCTACTAGCTAGCTTGATCCAGACACTCCTGGTCCTTTCATCAGACGGGAAGCGAAAGAACGAGCAAGACCCATTGCTGGTATAATAACAACCTGGTACTAAGCACACAGGCATCTTGTTAAAGTTATCTTATCTTAGCCAGCGCCATATAGATAGATTATATCTATATGGCGCTGATCTTAGCTATCTCTTAGTGGAGGAAAACAATTGTGACATCACTTACGCGACTCTGGGATTTGTAGTCTTTCTAGTTACGTATTTTTCATAGTCTTATATTTGAACAGTTTTACGACAAACTGTGACTTTTTTGACATGGAAATGATTTTTTAAGATTGACAAACATCATATGTGTAATTCATGGCACAATTCAAACGGGATCGAAAGATACGTTTTCTCTCTCCATTGACTTCAATACATTATTTTTAATGGGCGTGACTTCGCCACTCTATTTCGGAAAAATTATGTATTGAAGTCAATGGGGAGAGAAAAATTATCTTTCAATCCCGTTTGAATTGTGCCACGAATTACACATATGATGTTTGTCAATCTTAAAAAATCATTTCCATGTCAAAAAAGTCAGTTTGTCGTAAAACTGTTGAAATATAAGACTATGAAAAATGCACAACTAGAAAGACTACAAATCCCAGAGTCGCGTAAGTGATGTCATTAACGTTACACATTACACTCGTGTTACTCACCGAAACCTTGTAAAGCCGGTCCCGCATGCTGGCTATTACGGAACCGACTAACTCCCCTTTTGTGTATGTACAGCTCTCAACATGCCCAGACTTGTAGTGATTTTCACCTCTTTTAATACTTTTTGCCTCATTCTGAAAGAAAGAAGTGAAATGTGCCAACGTGACGGCCATCTTGGTGTTGGTGACGTGTGCGAGACCAGAGATGTAGTTCATTGAGCGTTTCACACAAAAAAATGTGTTACTTCACAGTTTTACGACACATTTTTATTTTTTTGACTTGCAAAATTATCTTTTAAATTGACAAACATCATATGTGTAATTCGTGGCACAATTCAAACGGAATCGAAAGATAATCTTTCTCTCCCCATTGACTTCAATATATAATTTTTCCGAAATAAGGTCCCATGGAGCTCCCCCGGAAAGGGAGGGACTTCGCCTCTCCCCCGGACCTCTCTATTGGCTGGGCGAATTGCAAACCACGCCCCGTAAAACTCCGAAAAGTTGTATCAAGCCGCCATTTTATTTGTTCGCATAAGCCCAGCGCACCAACGGAGAGATGGCAACTCGAACTAAATCATGGGAACGGTGGGGTGATGAGGAGGTGTCGGCGCTTCTGTCGATTTGTGCGGAAGACGAGACCCAGCGGCTTCTACTGAAGCCAGGCCACAACTCCAAAGTTTACGAGCGTTATTCGGTAAAGTTACGCGACCTGGGAATCTTCCACGACGCAAGCGCATGCCGGGTCAAAATGAAGAAAATGAAGCAGGACTACAAAAAAACAAAGGACCATAACAACAAGAGGGGTAACTACCAAAAGAGTACCAAATGGTACGATCGCATGGATGCTCTGCTCGGCCACAGACCTTCATTCTCCGGCACAGCATCGACTACCGATTCGGGCACGCTGATGTGGGAGGCCGCTGAAACGAAGGATTCAGTGGCCTGTGAATTGTACGACGACGACGAAGGTAAAATAAACGACATGCACTGGCGAGGTTTTAATCTGCACAATACTGGTCTCAGATGTACTTTTATTTGCTCAGTAGATAGAGCTAGCCGTGCTAGGCTGAACTGGCTAACACTGTTAGCAGGCCCCGAGCTGGCTAATAACAATACAGATAGGGATGAGCGGGAAAGACGTGTCCCTCTGTGGGCGAGTATGTGTTATTGTTGTTTTTATTTTAAGTGGATCCATGAAAAACGAGAATTGCCTCAGGAATGCCACTTTTGTTTCTATGAGTATGGTCAAGTGGAGACCACATCCATAAAACTAGTCAAGTTATGACCCTACAGCCTGGGGTCCAGTGAGGTACTTTTCCCTTTGAAGATCTGGAAAGATTCACCAAAAAACGAACTAGTTTTTTAGTGACCAAATAAACAGCAATGTTCAGATCAATTACTTATTTATGTTTTAAATAAAGGTGAATGTATTCTTGTATTAATATCACTCTATAACCTTAATACGTTATAGGCATAGTCTATCTGTTAATTTTGGCTGTCTTTTCAAAACTAAAATGGTCCTGACGTCCTTTTCAGTGGACATACTGTAACTTTTAAATTAAATAGGTTTTTGACCTAAATAGGTAGGAAATAAAGAAGACTGGAAAACGTTTTTTTCTCTCGGTTCCCAGGAAGATATACATATGTAGACTGTAACAAAGATTAAGATTGGCGTAATTATCAAAAACATGTTTTACTTAATCCAGTACAGAGAAATCAGTCTTATCAAATCTTGAGATACTCATAGGGAGGAGAGAGAAGACGCGGAAAATCAGAGAGGAAAGGAGATAGGTTAACATAACCTTCTCTCATGCTTTCTTTCACTCATCCATTTATATGGCGTAACAGATTTCCCCCCACATTAAATTAACTAAATAGTTTGAATTATATTAATTGAGCTAACAGGACTGTTTACAAAGTTGATGTTGATGACCTGTCAGATTTCTTTAAAAATAGTGGTGGGAGAGGAGTATGTGATAGCAAAGCATTGGTATTCAAATAACGTGCATAAAAGTTACCTGTAGATAAAACAATTACCATACAGGAACTTGCAACACCACATGTTATAAGGCACAGATTTTGGCCTGCACTTTGAGAAAGGAAGTCTGATTCTATGTAAAAGTCAGCGTCCTGTCTTGTTTAAGGATTAATGTCATGTGTCAAATCTTTCCGACACATTTTCCCTTTTGCAATGTTTTACTTTTATTGAGTTAAAAACACTTTCTTTCAGTAGTGCAATTGAAATGTCATCCCTAAACTCAACATGACTCAAAATGTTTTAGTAAACTTACTTAAATGCTTTGTCCATTCAAACAATGCTCCTTTTTTAGATCACATTTTAGGTAACCTATGTGACCTGCTCTATCGAAATCAGTCACATTGATCCTAAGACACACGAGTTGCATACACACTGTTGGAAAGAGGAGATTCCTAGCTTTCTAATGATATCAGGATTGTTGTTGTACTCCAAATATTAAGCAAAATGTCACATTATATAATGACTGTCACAGTCATCATTTTGAGAAAAAAGCCATCAAAGTTTCCTCTTCTCTGGAATCCATCGATCTGATTGATTATTAGTGGCTAATAAATGACCAAAGTAGTACGGAGGGAACATGTTTTCATTTGTATTACTGGTCTGGGGGAAGCTCGTTTGTGTGTATTGTGTTTGTTTCCCGGGGAAACACCGGCTGTTGTAAAAGTTGCATTTATCATCTGAATTTTGCGAAACAAGTTTAATATTCTAAAAACCAAGACTTTGTTTATTTGAAATCAGATGAAAACAAACTGTCCCAGACCCTGTCGTGTTATCTATGATTACTATACGCCTTTACTTCATAATTTCAGCGAGAGGGAGGGGAAGCGACGCTGCAGAAGAGCGGAGTACGATTGAGAGGTGCCCGTCTTCTTCCCTTTAAAAGCTTCAAAAATGTATTTATCGTGTGATTTTGGCAATCAAAGTGTCATATTCTGAAAGCCAAGACTTAAAGGTATGCAGGACATGACAAGCCGTGATGGAGTAAATATTAAGACAATTTAATTAAAGGTGGGGTAGGTAAGTTTGAGAAACCGGCTCGAGATACACTTTTTGTTATATTCCATGGAATGCTCTTAACATCCCGATAGCAATGAATATCTTAAGTGCTTTGACAAAAAATCCATAAAGAAATGTCATCTGTGGAAGCCGTAATACTGTAAAAAGCACGACCAATCATTTTAGCTGGCCCGGCTAAAATAACTGGCCTACCTGCCTGTCAGCCTTCCATCTGTGCACAAACTTATCTTGTGCCCTCATTGGTCATGTGCGCGTTCGTGTGTGTTGGAGGAGGGGCTCTGTAAGGAAGTGGCAGATTTTTTCCGGCTGTGTATTTTCAAATTCTAGCGCACTCGAGCTGGTTTCTCCAAAATTACCTACCCCACCTTTAATTAAAAATCAAACAAAACACCCGAACCCTGAAAAACTAGTTTTTTTACACAAATCCACGTTTATTTTGAAATGAGCCGCTGCGACTTCCGACTGATTTCGATAGGGCGGGTCAGATTTGAAGTCACATATGTTTTCCAGTGCTTCTTTGTTTAATCTTTTCTTTTAAACTGATGCATGTGATTTTTTCCTCATCAGACCAGTTGGCTTCTCATTTGGTTTGGCCCAAGCTGTTAAAGATCCAACTCCTGCAGCTTTTGCAATTGCAGAGGACGTCATAAGTCCTTTCACCCTTTGTTCAAACGTCAGTTCAACGGAGAAAGAAAAGAACATACCTACATATACGTTTCCTGGTAAGCTACTAAACAGTTTCACACAAAGAAAGAATGATATACAACTGTGTTCCAGTTTTCCCAACAGTTTAATGCATGCTTCAAGACGCTCCATGCAAACACCTTACATATTGTGAGCAGAAGTGTCATTAGTGTCAGTATTCTGTAACCCTAACTTGAACCGGATGGAGACTTATCAACTTTTAAACTCTCCTCAGCAACTCAACCTAAGTTGGAATTTCAATGGAGAGAAGTGGAGTGGACAGAAGAGTGAGTAAAACATTCAAAATCAAGTCATGTTTGCAACTCTTTTAATTACGTCAGAGTGGTCAACTGGTCATTTAGAGCAAGAAGATAGAACATAATTTAAACCCTATACATATATTACCTTTATTCATGTTTGCAACTATTTCAATTACTTGCAGTCGAAGTGATAGATCTGGTCATTTAGAGCGAGAAGAATTGAAACCCTATACATATATTACCTTTATTCCTTTAACTCATGTTCACAGACACTTATCTTTTCAAATTATTCTGAACAGCAAGTATGTCTTCAATATTTTCTAATCTAGGCAAAAGGCGAGTCTGATGAAGACCATCAGCTCCTACAGGCCGAGCTGTCACGAGGGGACTCAGGCTCGAGTTCTCCTCCTGGGTCCGGTCGGTTCTGGAAAGTCCAGCTTCATCAGTTCAGTCCAGTCTGTGTTTAATGGAAGAGTCACCAACCGGGCCATGGTGGGCACCTCTTCCACCAGCTTCACCAAGAAGGTACAAGTGGAGCAATAACTGAGTGGGAACAAAAGAGCTGAAATTCATTGTTGCGTTTCTCAAATTAAGGAAGTATTGAAAAGAGAGCCTCATCTGGCCTTTTGGAAAGGCACTGAATAGCTAGCAAATTCAAGCGGTATCTATACACTATCCACAAAAAATGAAAAACAGCCGAACACCGTTCAAAGAGACCATCTGTAGTCAAAGTATTGTCAGTCATTTCCCATGTTAAATAAAACACAAATGTTGTCTGCAATTCATCAACACACTTATATTCAATACCAGTTTCAAGGTTGTTTGTAAAACATCATGAATTAGCAAAAGGAATTCAAAGTTAGACAGTCATCTTTACTCAAAGTCCAATTACTAGCTTTCCTGAAGCTTTCAATTTCATGTAAGAGTTTGCCTGGATGTCATAAAGTTGGCCATGACAAGTCCAAATATTACGTATTAGATTTAAATATAGATTAGGACAGACAATATGCGCACACACTCACACAAATACATTTATCAAAGGTGAGCAAAAATGTCTCAAATGTGTTCATCAGAAGACACTGTTCATGCAAACCTCCGTTCACAGCTTGGATGTTCTCATCTTTTACAACCATCCAATTCACTTTTTTTTTTCTCCGTCTCAGCTGCAGTCCTTCAACATCCATGGTCAGAAAGGAGAGGATCCTACTGGACTGGTGCTGTGTGATATTGTGGGCTTGGGGGGTGGAGAGATGACTGGACTGACCCTCCATGACGTCCTGTCTGTCATTAAAGGTCATGCACCAGAGGGGCAAAAAGTAAGCAGGATAAAAATGACATGTTCTAGTTCGTAGCTTGCAGCTTTACCCAATGACTGTTGTTTGGTCAAGATGAAAATATCTCACTATTTGTACAGACATTCATAATTTCCCAGAGGATACATCCTTACTCACTTTGTTGATCATCCGACCTGCGCCACCATGAGGTTAACAGTTGGGTTCATAGAGAAGTAACCGACTGCAACCTAAAACCCATGGTTACCGTAATTATTAACAGCCACGTAAATAACAAATCCTGGCACTGAACATGAAGTAGCCCAACACAGACCATGGTTCAATCTGTATTTGCTTTTGTCTTTGCAAAAACTACCTCGACATGAGTTTTTTGTCTTGTGAAAATGTAACCTCTTTCTCTCTCCCAGTTTAGCCCAGATCAACCAGTGGGGTCTGAGACTGTAGGCTATGTAAAGAAGCCAGGTCTCAAAGACAAGATCCATTGTGTTGCCTTTGTGGTAGATGCCTCTAAAATCCTGACCTACCCCAAAGGCCTCGGCACCACCTTCAGGCTGCTCCGAAAGCACATCAGTGACCTGGGTAAGTCAGGGACACATTATCAGTCCAATACAAAGACATTTTCAAACACAGATGAACTACTTTTAAAGACAAGATGGGCTTTGACTTTTAAGATGAATGTTGTAGAGCTGTTCTTCTGTCCCTCTGTCAGTTCCTGCCGAATCTGGATGTTGTTTTAACGCACTGCTTAGAAGTTTCACTGACCTTTTATGTATATATTTTGGGGGCATTTTGTTGTGGTTACAATTGCTGGGCACTGATGTTCATAATAACTTTGGGCTTGAAACCCTCTTTACAGGATTTACTAAACAAAAGCACTGTTGAAATGTCAACTGTCAGTGATTTTTTTCTCTGCAATGTAACAAATGAAAGCCTTTTTTGTAGTGACATCTTATTGACAGCATTGTATTGTGTCTGCTAGACATTCACCAGGTGGCCCTGCTGACCCAGATAGACCAAATTTGTCCAGAAACGGCCAAAGATGTCACCCAGGTTTACAAGAGCGGCATCATTCAGGAAATGGTAGGTTTAAAAAAAAAAAAAAAAAAAAAATGAAATAGACAAAGTATATCCATCATAGAGGAAGGTGCACATCATTAAATTACAAGCTAAAGCAAAGTCACATGACTCACTAGTCGCATTAGATTTTTGGACAAAGGGAAAGATCATTGTTGATCTGCCATTCAAACATATACATGTACAATGTAGTTTGGGTACATACTAGAGATGTCCGGATCACCTTTTTTTGCTCCCGATCCGATTCTGATCATTTGATTTTGACAATCTGCCGATACCGATTTTTCCCGATCCGATCTTTATGCAATGCATCAAGAGAAAAAAAAGGTAACATAACGGCTGGTCATCCAACGCGATGAATTCAGCTATCTTGGCTGTTATTTTTTTTGGCCTTTTCACTGTTCTGGGGCAGTTTCTCTTTCCTTTTAAAAGTCTCTGAAAGTGTCGGTTCTTTCATGCCGTTACCTGAGTGGCCGCTGTGTACTTGTCGTGTTGTTGTTGGTGTTTGTATTAGATTGGTCGTGTTGAACGTAGCTCTGTTGTTTCCACCACGCGGAACCTCCGCCTTGCAAACATTGCATCTGGCTGTTACACTGCCTTCGCTTTCAATTTTATAATACTTCCAAACTCCTGACATTTTCTCTGTCCCGACTCCCGAGGCACCAGCTGAACGTAGCCTCTCGTTAGCTTACTGCTACTATTAGACACTGCGCCGTGCCCACTCTGTTGCCAGATTTGAGAGAAATAAGCAACCAGGTCTATGAAAACAAGCCCAAAAGAAGCAACACATACATGATGTTGTGTAATTTCAAACCAAAACGAAGGCCTCAGGATGACTTTAAGACGTGAACATGGTCATTTTTGTTTTGTAACATTAAATAAATACAAAATAAGTCCCGAGCCCCGATTTTTTTCTCCCGATTCCGATCTTTTGAAAATCACGTGATCGGCTCCGATCCCCGATCACGTGATCGGATCGGGACATCTCTAGTACATACATACATTTAAGGTAAGACACATAAAAAAGCCGAATTACAGCCTGAAACTATTTTAACATTCTTGTTTGGACCTTTTTATTATTTTTGCTATTTTTCAACTGTCAAATTGAGGACTACTTGCCCTGTTTTGATTATTTCCGTCTGGCTTTATAATAATGATATAAAAATAACTTTTGTGAGAGTTAAAAACAATGTAACACTCACTCCTTACCAGAGATGGGGTCGTTACTAAATAAAAGTAATATATTATATATGACATATTACTTTAAAAAAAAAAAAAGGTAATGTATTACACTACTTCGTTACACTCTACATAAAGTTACTCGTTACTTTACGCCACAGTTTTGCCTCTGCGAGACTCCACTTACACCCCCAATTACTATTGCAATAAGGAAGACATAACACAAGTCTTTCTTTTTATATGCTCTTTAATAAAATAGGCTACCAGCCTACCACAACAAGCTTGCAAGACACCTTGGCATGTGTTCTTTGCAGGTGTTTGTTGAGGTTTGACGTGGTGTTTACAGCAGTGGATAACAGCTTCTGGCCTGGACACAGTTTGCACCTCACCGTCACATTCCTGTCTATTCTTCGGACAAACTCAAAATAATGGGCATACCTCCACCCCTCGAAAGTTATCGCTGACTCAGCCATGTTTATGCAGCACTGCACGTGGAGATGTGGACGCGCAAGTCGCGCAGATTACGTACATATAAACCTGCGGCGGAAACCCCTCTTGTCTGTCAGTGTGATTATGACTGATTTTATAAAAGTAACGAAGTAACGCGTGTCGGGGCAATGTTAGTAACTGCAGTGTGATTACTGAATTATAAAAGTAACGCCCAGTGTGAGAAAAAGATTTTAGAGAGTACTTGTCCATGGACAAGTGAGTTTGGCAATTTACTTGTCCGAATACATTTTTCACTTGTCCAGAATGGACAAAAATTGGGGCCACTGGAATCTTCTTCTTCGCCAACGTATTTTACATTTTCCCACGTTTTTTACGACACCGCTAACGTAAGTGAGCGGTAAGATTTTACTGCACCACACATAGGGTTGGGTATAGTTTGGATTTTAACGATTCCGGTTCTGCTTTTCGATTCCGGTTATTTTCGGTTCTCGATTCTTTGAGAGGGTAAAAATAAGTCCCATGACAAACTGGGAGAAAAATATATTTATGAAAACATTAAGTCAAATCTGTATTCCTATTTACAAATCACTTCATACTGTTTAATTTCTTACGGTTATTGAATAAAATTATATAAAAATAATCTCTGCATTGTTTAGTTAGTTCTAAGTGGTGCAGTTTGAGAATGTACAATTGGCCAAGTCTCCTCTGATGTTACACTGCAACCTGCCTGTGAGACAGAGTCCAACCACACATGTCCAACACATAGGCCTAATAATAATAATAATACATTATATTTATAGCCTATAGGCCTAGCGCTTTTCTACAACTCAAAGACGCTTGCATGCTTACCCATGTCCTGCAATACACATGCTGCAGCTGCTCACTGTTTGTAAAAGTAAATAAATAGTATTTTCATTTCAATAATGTATTTTCTATACCCTGCTTCATAAACAATACTGACATCCCTGTGCTCCTCCGAGTCTGGGGGTCGGGGGATGTGAGGACAGCGCGAGGACACAGACAGGGAGGCTGCTTTACTTCATAAAGGAAATGGCGGTCAATATTAACAACGTAGGAGCTAAAACGCTTAATAACCTTCATTACGTGTTAAAGAAAGAACATAAGAAAGTTTGACAAGGATAGGCTGTTAAACGGGCAGTGGGTCCGCTGTGTGTAGAAAGAGAGAGGGAGAGAGAGAGATGCTGAACTGCAGCGATCAGATGATCCGGAGCAGAGAGAGAGAGCTGCGGTCCGCGGGGCTCGGCCTCGCCTCCTGTCCTCACAACTCTTATTAATCCCGGTACCGGACAATTGTTATTTGTTCCTACTCGGAACCGAGTTTTGCTTCCCAACCCTGCCACTGTGCTACACGTCCCGCCCCGCCCCCGTCTTACAGTACAGAAAGCGGCGAGATGCATTTCCTTAGGAATCGACAAGCAGAACCGAAACTAACATTTCTAAACGAACAATGGCGGACAATTTGCGAATGAGTTCTGCCTTTTGTAAACTGAATTTATCAATAATTTGTCAATAAATGAGGGCTAAAAACGTCACTTGTCCGCCGGACAAGTCAATTGAAAGATCGACTTGTCCGATATTGTAAATAACACGTCCCGGACGGTGGGACGTGTGCTTTTTCGCACACTGAACGCGTTACTCTACTCCGTTACCGACAAAAGTAATATTACAGTAACGCGTTACACCCAACTCTGCTCCTTACACACCACAGGGCTTGAGATGATAACTTTTCTTTATTTTAGCCATGGCATTTTTCTCTGCTGAGGGAATAAAAATACCGATGGGGTGTAAATCTTAGTCATGTGTTTGTGTGTGTGTTTGTAGATGAATAAAGCTGGGGATCTGTTGGGTATGTCCACCTCCTACGTTGTCCCGGTGAAGAACTACTCATCAGAGCTGGACCTGAACGTGAACAACGATGTGCTTCTGCTTAGAGCTGTGGACCACATCCTGCAGTATGCTGACCTGTATTTCCAGGACAATGCACCACAACACACAGGGCCAAAGATCGATTTGGGGGTTTAGCGTAGAGCATTTTAAAAATGTCGGAGCAACATTTAGCTGTTTTTTTTTTTTCAAAGCTACAGGATGTAGATGCTACATCTAATAAATCATGTAACATATAACATTCTCATTATGTTTTTCTTTAAATAAAACTGAATATAATCAGAAATGTGTGATGTTTTTATTTGTAAGTGTGATCTGGTCTTTAATAAAAGGTCCAGGAACAGCATTGTTTTTGAGTTGTCCCATACTTTTTCTTTCTGTAGGTAGAAAGGACATTTACAAGTGGTTGCCTAACCGTGTTCACAATGGCATCATTAGCATGGTTTAGCACCTAACTGAGGTTCAATCATTTTGATTTTTATGTTTTTTTTTTCTTCTCACTCTCACAGCTGCCTCAGGGTCTATTGCAGGTATCTCAACGGGTGAACATCATCCTTTACGAGTATAATTCATACAATGTGCAATATTTAAATCTCCATCTCTTTACCCGTCACTTTTTTATAGCATCTACTGTTTATATCAACTGTATTTCCAAACCTTAATTTAAAAATCTTTATTCACATTGTTGTTGTGATTGTCTGGTAGCAGGACTTTAAACTCACCAATGTGAAGTTCTTAATTTTAACGTGATGGTAGCATACTTGTAACTGAAACTTATGAAAAGGCATCAATTATTATAGAATCTATCTTACAAATAGGAACTTCCTCAAGGACTAGTTGTACTGATACAGATTGGGTGAGGGTGTGGTGAATCCTAGTTCAAACACGTGCAAACTTGCGTCATCAAAAAAGTATAGCCTACGTTTATTATAAAGTAAGGTCTCCAGTATGAAGCCCATTGTGTGATAAAAAGTGTCATTATGTGACAACTGGATTCACGTTCAATTTCAACTAAATGGAACTAAAGGAAGAAAACACTAAGGAGTTTCACATGTTCAGGATACACAGTGGGCTACACAGCTTTATTTATGGCGCATTTCCACTACACGGCCTCGCTCGGTATGGTTAGGCCTTGTTGGGACTGGCTCACTTTATGGCACATTTCCATTACAGTTTAGGAACTGGGGTAGTATCTAGTAACGCAGTGTAGGCGGAGCCGTGACACATCTTCAATGAGAACCCCAGAAAAACATCAGCTGTTAGTGCTCACAGCTCCTCATATCTGTTCAGAAACTAGACAAAAGTTAAACAAGTACAAACCACAGACTGTCTGTGTCATGGTGAATACAGTCGTTGCTTTATTTATGTCTGTATAGGCCGTTGTGAGTGTGGACGGTCGGAGCATATACTGCGTTAGTTTAGCCGATCTCCATTTAGACAACACGCATTTTAAAAGGTTTTTCGCCTGCCGTCTGTCTGCAGACTTGTCAAAGCATTAATTCATGGTTTTTACTAACCGGTATCACTGTCAGATAACGAGGCGTCCTCGTCGTCCTGCCCCTCCGCGAACGTGACCACCCGGTCCCTCGGGAGGGTGAACTCAAATGGCACCTCATCGAGATCGTCCATGTCGACCACCTAGGAGTGGTTCTTATATTCTCTTTCTCTCACACATCTTTGCTCAGTATCACTTCCGCTCGCTGAAGAGAAAGGGATGACGGTCAGGAGGCGAGAACCAAACCAAAAAACAACATTACTTATCCATGACTGAATGAGTGACCTGGTTGACTCATATCATTATGTCACTGATATATATCTATTCAGGGCCGGCCCTGATCAATTTGCTGCCCTAGGTCAGATTTTAGCTGGTGCTCATGCAGCTCACTGATCCAGTAATGTGTGAGGCCGACAGTGAAGAATAAATATATTTATAACTATTTTATCTTGTTCCAGAGGTAGATAAAATAACTAAGTGTGTTAGGTCTAACTCTTGTGTGTTTTGCTCTGCTCACCGGTCCGTCACAGTGGGTGGAGCTGCAGGATTTCTGCTTCACACACACGTTGCATAAAGCTATTTTATTGTCATTTTCGGACACCTTAAAATACTGCCAGACTGGTGAAGCCATTTTGGCGAGCTTGTTTTGCCGCGCACAGAGAAAAAACATCCCTAGTAATTGACTTCAACTCTAAGTCAATTACTTCAATTCACCTTGCTATCGTCTAAAAGTAAGCTAGCAAGTTAACACTGTTCCATCAACGCTAACTACAATTCAATTGACTTTGATTAATCAGCACATTGTGGTGGAACATTATGGGACATAATTCACCGTTGTATATATTGTGTGTTGCAACACGGACCTGTTAGAGAGTGTACCGTGTTGTTGTATTCATTCTAGCTTGACAGTAGCAGGTAGTAGATGTTCCTACCTTGTCTGTAAACAAATGGAAAATAAAGTGTGGAGTTCCATCATCGGCTCTACAACATTAACGTTACTGTACCTTTGTCCCGTTTGTCCTCATCCTCTTTTCTTTCTTCCCTGGGCACCAGATAACTCTGTTCTTTTCGACATTGCTAATTGCCATCAGGTAGCCTACTAGTTGCCTTTTTTTTCCCCGAGTCACGGCAGGTCAAGTGTCAGTCAGTGAAACTTGACCCCGCCCCCTCTCCCTGGTGCACTTCAATTTACCTGATTTGTGGGGGGGGGGGCATAGTTTATGGGTGCTGTACGCAATATAGGCGTAGTTCTGTTAAGATAAGATAATACTTTGTACTTTGTTGATCCCAAATCTGGAAATTGTTTTGTTATGACATTTAAATTAAATTATTATTTATAATTTTTTTTTTTCTTCCCCCCAATTTTCGGTGCCCCCCATGGGTTGATGGCCCTTAGCATTCGCCTATACTGCCAGCTCTGTATCTATTCAAGTTATTTTGGTATACATTAAACATATTTATGACTACGTTTCACCTGTTTTCTGGTTAAAGGACAGATCAATTATGAGGTCTGTTTTGGTTTTTGTCTCCACAAATAGCCACCTATAGATAGTGTTTGCTGTCGAGCCATCAACAGTACAATAATCTTTAATGACACCCACTCATAACCTCAAGGCCGCAGCAGGTTGTATTTGTGATGTGGGTGTTGCCCTCAAATAACTAGCCAGTATAACATCAGCTGATGTGTCAGACTTCTCAAATTGTTGCATGATTCTGTTTGGGAACATCAGGTGTTTGTACTGGTTTTGGATCTCCTTCCTTTTATGTCTCCATACAACCAATGCCTCCATATCTCCCAGTCTTACTACAAGGGGCTCCAGATATAAAAACTAGTTTGCTGAAACAACAAAAGCTGGGCACGGCCACAAGGTCATAAAGATAGCTGTGCCTCTTCTTGCTCGTTGTTATTACGCCTCATCATTCGCAGGCTGCTAGCCAAAATAGCTTAGTGACAGATAACCAACCTGAAATAACCGGCAAAATTGATTTCATGTTTATTATGCTTTGAGGGGTTATATCGAGTAGGCAATCTCCATTCACGATCATAACCTCCATCACTGAGAGAAAACTGAGGAGATGTACTACAATATATGATTTAGATATGATATAATGTTTTGATTATAGAATAAAGGTTCTTTAGATCCTCCCATTTAGCGTGCATACATTTGTTTTGGAGTATTCGAGTGGTGGTGGTAAACACATGGAGATGATGGGGGTCTTACCAAGTGAAGACATTATTGATGTGATCTGAATCCTTCCTGAGGGGCTCACTGGAGCTGAATCATAATCTGAGGCTGCTGAGACGAACGCCACGTCAAAAAGCCCTGAAATGACAGCAGAGAGGAGCCCAGAAAGAAACTTTTTAAGTTTAGAAACCAGCAACATAATGAATTAACAGAGCTCATTAAAATATCCAACAGGTTTAACTGAATTACAGTGACACCCAAAGTTTGCTGACCTTGATGACCACAGGAGAAATAGAGTGGCGAAGTCACGCCCATCTACTTCCGCCCCATGGGACCTTATTTCAATTGTGAAAACAATTGTGACATCACTTACGCGACTCTGGGATTTGTAGTCTTTCTAGTTGCATATTTTTCATAGTCTTATATTTCAACAGTTTTACGACAAACTGTGACTTTTTTGACATGGAAATTATTTTTTAAGATTGACAAACATCATATGTGTAATTCATGGCACAATTCAAACGAGATCGAAAGATACGTTTTCTCTCTCCATTGACTTCAATACATTATTTTTCCGAAATAAGGTCCCATGGGGCGGAAGTAGATGGGCGTGAGTCGTGACTTCGCCACTCTATAAGCACAAGTGGAGAAAACACACACACACACACACACACACACACACACACACACACACACACACACACACACACACACACACACACACACACACACACACACACACACACACACACACACACACACACACACACACACACACACACACACACACACACACACACACACACCCCTTTTTGTATCCAAGGAATAGCAATCACCACCATCAATTACTGATGCATTTCAGATTAGTTATTCAGTTATTAAGAGCTACTGAAAGATGGCAATGACCCTCAGGTAGATTTTGTGGCCACATGTTGACCTCTTCTGTCAGCTAGCGGTTAAGCATCTACAGCTTTAGAAACTAGACTAGAGCTCCCTCTTGTGTACACAATGAGAGGAAACATTAATATAAGGGTTTAGGGTTCAAAAACATCTTTTTCATTGTGATATTTTGCCAGTTGATCCTATTAACAGTAACAGTTATCAATCCAAAGTAAAAGAGTTGGTTGAGCATTCCTAGAATACATTTTACATTATGTTTTGACTTATCATTAGACCCTGCAGTGGCCTGAAGATGCATTTAATTTCTACACTCACCAAGGTAAAGAGCAGATCAGAGCATCAATATTTACATTGCATCTGCTTCGTCTAAACTGTCATTCATGGTTTCACAAGGTTGATTAGGAACATTGATCTGAATGCAATACCCCACTCAGTAGTCAACCTTGACCACCTCTTATTTCGCTCCATTAGTCTGCCAAAACATTTCTAGTTATTTCAGAAACTTCTCCACACCATTTTCTGACCTAAAGCTCCTCTAACATAATTGTTCTTAAAAACACACAGTCTAAGTAGGCCTATGTTGAATTCCTCCCCTGCATGTCTCTGATGTGATGTCCTCATCTCAACAAACACACTGTACCTCCATATTTTCTCTCTTTATTAGCAGTAGGCCTATGTGTTCTCTTTAAATCTGTAGAGGGCCTTGCATGTGTTGGACCTGTAAGCTACATTTGAAATAATTTGCACTATAATTTTGAGGATGATGGACCCATGATTTACCTCATTTAAAACCCTGGTGAAACTTACACTTTTGGTATTATCCTCTTTCTATAAAGTCGACAATAAGCGATCATCCAAAGGTCTAAAGTGGAGGTTTTACAAGAAAAAGCAAACTTAAAACCTAGGATATCAGAGAGCATTTCAATATTTCGAGTTTGTTTTTTTGGGGACAACAAGCTTGCATTGTGCAAAGAAAAGTGTGCTTATGCCACACACCTCTCTGACAGTTTAAGTTTCACTTTCCTTTCCACAGAAAAGTATCCTACACTCTTGTTTTCTATTCTCCTCTATCCTTTTGCAGCTGTTATTCGCCACATAGCCTATACAGCAGCGGTTATCATGCAGAATCTAACTGAAGAAAAAACAAGGTAAATGCCTCCGTAAGTAAACGGAGCAAAGTTTAGTTTCACAACAGGTGGCGGTTGATGAAACTTAATTACCTACCGTTTTTGACTTTCTTCTGTTTGGTTTGTGTCCTGTAGGCTAGCTATTGGCCACCAACTTTCTTAATGTCGTTAAAGCCTGCGGGTAGACGGGATATTTCAGAAAGCAAACGTGTGTTAGCTAGTTTGTGTTAGCTAATTGTTCAAGTTATCTTCTAACTGTGGAAATGGCGTTACAGTGTTTGTATGGACAAACAATACTTCTCCCATTTTCACAAGACATAACTTCCTTACAATCTGACGATACAGTTGCATTTTTAACACATTGAAAAACACAAATACACTATGCGTCCGTTTTGGGATAGTGATAGTGATCTATCTCGCAGGATCTGATAACAGAGAAGTTATGTCAACATTTTTAACTGACGTTCGCAGATGCCCTGGCTCAGTAACTTTTGTAACAGTGAATATGTTTCTTAGCACCGTAAATATTTGATGTTTGACAAATAAAATAGACACATTATTAGACTGTGCCCACCTGGAGACAGGAAGCGTACAGGCTACCTTTGTTTATCATTGCTGGTGCCGCTTTTAATACGTCAACTTCAGATAGCCTACAGTGCATCTTTGCTTTAGAAAACTCGGACACAAACCAATATTTTGCATATCTTGATGAATAGATGTAAAGGAGGTCGGCATTGCTTTTTTAAAACTGCGAAACTAGATGTTTACAGAGACACATCTGTAAACGAACTCTCACAACTTGTGCGGTTAATTTAAGTCAAAACCTTATATTTGAAACACAGGGGCTGGATGTTCTGTGCATGTCTGAGACTGTTTATGCTGACGTTCTCTATTTTTTATTTATTTAATGTTTTAAAATCAGAAAGGGGAAATTCCTGATTTCCAACTGAGCAATTTCACACTGGATTTTTGAATAATAATCAATGGTAAAATGTGTTTGTGTATCCACAATCATTTGAACAGTTTAACAGTTGAACCACATGTTACTGTGGTAAATGGTTTGCCGGATGGAGAAAACACATCCATTCATAGTGAACAAATGAGGACCAAGTTTTCTCCATATACATATAGCCTACAGACTGTAACAAAGATTAAGATTGGCGTAATTATCAAAAATATTTTTTACTTAATCCAGTACAGAAAAATAAATCTTATCAAATCTTGAGATACTCATAGGGAGGAGAGAGAAGATGCGGAAAATCAGAGAGGAAAGGAGGTAGGTTATTAACCTTCTCTCATGCTTTCTTTCACTCATCCATTTATGAGGCTTAACAGATTTTTTCCCACATTAAATAAAATAAATAGTTTGAAGTATATTAATAATTGAGCTAACAGGGCTGTTTACAAAGTTGATGTTGATGACCTGCCAAAGAGGAATATGTGATAGCAAAGCATTGGTTTTCAAATAACGTTCATACAAGTTACCTGTAGATAAATAAATTATCATACAGGAACTTGCAACACCACATGTTATAAGGCACAGATTGTGGCCTGTACTTTGAGAAAGGAAGTCGGATTCTATGTATCCTGTCGTGTTTAAGGATTAATGTCGTGTGTGAAATGTTTCCGACGCATTTTCCCTTTTGCAATGTTTTACTTTTATTGAGTTCTATTAAAATCACTTTCTTTCAGTAGTGCTCAACTCAAATTTCGTCCCAAAACTCACCGTGACTCAAAATGTTTTAGTAAACTCACTTCAATGCTTTGTCCATTCAAACAATGCTGCTTTTTTTAGATCACATTTTAGGTCACATATGTTTTCCAGTGCTTCTTTGTTTCATCTTTTCTTTTAAACTGATGCATGTGATTTTTTCCTCATCAGACCATTCAGCTTTTCATTTGGTTTGGCCCCACCTGAATGTCCAGCTCCTGCAGCTAAACCGGCTTTTGTGATTGGAGAGGACGTCAAAAGTCCTTTCACCCTTCGTTCAAACGTCAGTTCAACAAAGAAAAAAGAAAAGAACACACCTTCATATACATTTCCTGGTAAGATACTAAACAGTTTCACACTAAGAAAGAATGATATACAACTGTGTTCCAGTTTTCCCAAAAGTTTAATGCATGCTTCAAGACGCTCCATGCAAACACCTTACATATTGTGAGCAGAAGTGTCATTAGTGAGTATTCTGTAACCCTAACTCAGTGTTTCCCCTACCATTGTCTTGGAGGGGCGCTGCCAACGGAGCCCCGCGCCCCCCCTGAAATTCAAGGTGTTTTAGTAGTAAACCTAGGGGAAACACTGCTAACTTGAACCGGATGGAGACTTATCAACTTTTAAACTCTCCTCAGTACCTAAACCTAAGTTGGAATCTCAATGGAGAGAAATGGAGTGGACAGAAGAGTGAGTAAAACATTCAAAATCAAGTCATGTTTGCAACTCTTTTAATTACGTCAGAGTGATAGGACTGGTCATTTAGAGCAAGAAGATAGAACATAATTTAAACCCTATAAATATATTACCTTTATTCCTTTAACTCATGTTCACAGACACTTATCTTTTCAAATTATTCTGAACAGCAAGTATCTCTTCAATATTTTCTAATCTAGGCAAAAGGCGAGTCTGATAAAGACCATCAGCTCCTACAGGCCGAGCTGTCACGAGGGGACTCAGGCTCGAGTTCTCCTCCTGGGTCCGGTCGGTTCTGGAAAGTCCAGCTTCATCAGTTCAGTCCAGTCTGTGTTTAATGGAAGAGTCACCAACCGGGCCATGGTGGGCACCTCTTCCACCAGCTTCACCAAGAAGGTACAAGTGGAGCAATAACTGAGTGGGAACAAAAGAGCTGAAATTCATTGTTGCGTTTCTCAAATTAAGGAAGTATTGAAAAGAGAGCCTCATCTGGCCTTTTGGAAAGGCACTGAATAGCTAGCAAATTCAAGCGGTATCTATACACTATCCACAAAAAATGAAAAACAGCCGAACACCGTTCAAAGAGACCATCTGTAGTCAAAGTATTGTCAGTCATTTCCCATGTTAAATAAAAGACTAATGTTATCTCCAATTCATCAACACACTTATATTCAATACCAGTTTCAAGTTTGTTTGTAAAACATCACGAATAAGGAAAAATAATAAAAAGTTAGACAGAGTCATCTTTACTCAAAGTCCAATTACTAGCTTTCCTGAAGTTTTCAATTTCATGGATTTTGTCTGTGTAAGAGTTTGCCTGGATGTCATAAAGTTGGCCATGACAAGTCCAATTATTACATATTAGATTTGAATATAGATTAGGACAGACAATATGCGCACACACTCACACAAATACATTTATCAACGGTGAACAAAAATGTCTCAAATGTGTTCATCAGAAGACACTGTTCATGCAAACCTCCGTTCACAGCTTGGATGTTCCCATCTTTTACAACCATCAAATTAACTTTTGTTTCTCTCTGTCTCAGCTGCAGTCCTTCAACATCCATGGTCAGAAAGGAGAGGATCCTACTGGACTGGTGCTGTGTGATATCGTGGGCTTGGGGGGTGGAGAGATGACTGGACTGACCCTCCATGACATCCTGTCTGTCATTAAAGGTCATGTACCAGAGGGGCACAAAGTAAGCAGGATAAAAATGACATGTTCTAGTTCGTAGCTTGCAGCTTTACCCAATGACTGTTGTTTGGTCAAGATGAAAATATTTCACTATTTGTACAGACATTCATAATTTCCCAGAGGATACATCCTTACTCACTTTGTTGATCATCCGACCTGCGCCACCATGAGGTTAACAGTTGGGTTCATAGAGAAGTAACCGACTCCAACCTAAAACCCATGGTTACCGTAATTATTAACAGCCACGTAAATAACAAATCCTGGCACTGAACATGAAGTAGCCCAACACAGACCATGGTTCAATCTGTATTTGCTTTTGTCTTTGCAAAAACAACCTCGACATGAGTTTTTTGTCTTGTGAAAATGTAACCTCCTCTTTTCTCTCTCCTAGTTTAGCTCAGATCAACCAGTGCGGTCTGAGACTGTGGGCTATGTAAAGAAGCCAGGTCTCAAAGACAAGATCCATTGTGTTGCCTTTGTGGTAGATGCCTCTAAAATCCTGACCTACCCCAAAGGCCTCGGCACCACCTTCAGGCTGCTCCGAAAGCACATCAGTGACCTGGGTAAGTCAGGGACACATTATCAGTCCAATACAAAGACATTTTCAAACACAGATGAACTTTGACTTTTAAGATGAATGTTGTAGAGCTGTTCTTCTGTCCCTCTGTCAGTTCCTGTTGAATCTGGATGTTGTTTTAACGCACTGCTTAGAAGTTTCACTGACCTTTATGTATATCTTTTGGGGGATTTTGTTGTTGCAGAGGCACTGATGTTCATAATACCTTCTTTACAGGATGCACTAAACAAAAGCACTGTTGAAATGTCAACTGTCAGTGATTTATTTCTCTGCAATGTAACAAATGAAAGCCTTTTTTGTAGTGACATCTTATTGACAGCATTGTATTGTGTCTGCTAGACATTCACCAGGTGGCCCTGCTGACCCAGATAGACCAAATTTGTCCAGAAACGGCCAAAGATGTCACCCAGGTTTACAAGCGCCGCATCATTCAGGACATGGTAGGTTTAAAAAATATGAAATAGACAAAGTATATCCATTATAGAGGAGGGTGTGATCACCATGCAGACTACAGGTGGGGAAGTTTTACCAAAATGAGTGTGTGACCAGTTTAGTTTCCTGTGATCTGAACCATAATGGAAAATTTGACTTTGTGGTGCTTGTTTATAAATATATATCTTTTTTGTAGGTGCACATCATTAAATTACAAGCTAAAGCAAAGTCACATGACTCATTAATCGCATTAGATTTTTGGACAAAGGGAAAGATCATCATTGATCTGCCATTCAAACATATACATGTAACATTTACTTTGGTGAGGTAAGACACATTAAAAAGCCAAATTAAAGCCCGAAACTATTTTAACATTCTTGTTTGGACCTTTTTATAATTTTGCTATTTTTCAACTGTCAAATTGAGGACTACTTGCCCTGTTTTGATTATGTCTGTCTGGCTTCATAATAATTATATAAAAATAACTTTTGTGAGAGTTAAGAACAACGTAACACTCACTCCTTAGACACCACAGGGCTTGAGATGATAACTTTTCTCTATTTCAATTTGCCATGACATTTTTCTCTGCTGAGGGAATAAAAATACCTATGTGGTATAAATCTTAGTCATGTGTTTGTGTGTGTGTTTGTAGATGAATAAAGCTGGGGATCTGTTGGGTATGTCCACCTCCTACATTGTCCCGGTGAAGAACTACTCATCAGAGCTGGAGCTGAACGTGAACAACGATGTGCTTCTGCTTAGAGCTGTGGACCACATCCTGCAGTATGCTGACCTGTATTTCCAGGACAATGCACCACAACACACAGGGCCAAAGATCGATTTGGGGATTTAGCGTTTAGCTACAGAATGTTAATGCTACATGTAATGGATTTGAACCATCATGTACAATAGAACAATTTCATCATGTTTTTCTTTAAATAAAATGATCATGGACAAAAATTCTGAATATAATCAGAAATGTGTGATGTTTTCATTTGTTAGTGTGATCTGTTCTTTATAAAAAGGTAATTGGGCCTCATGCAACAACAGCATTGTTTTTGAGTGGCACAGAGTGGGTGTAAGTAAGCTTGCAGCAGACAACAGTCCTCCTGTCTTTCTGTAGGTAGAAAGTGTGGGGGAAACTTCTGAAGCAATTGGAGTCAGGACTCAGAGACACAAGGAGAGCTGGAGCTTTGATGGCAAACACTGACGGTTTATTTGGAGCTTCGGCCGGAGAATTCACAAGACATGTCACGGGCCACGGTTTGACCACACGGTTGAGATGCCACAATCAATTCTGAAGAACCCTCCTGTAGCTCAAGGTTTTAACTAGTTCAGAGTGTCATAATCAACATTCTTCAATAGATAGACTAAACAGCTGAGGACACTGAATCACATTTGTGGTAACAACAACAAAATGCTAGGGCAGCCCCTCCTTAAGGGAGATAGCATGATGCCCAAGGCTGGGCATCTGCGGCAAAAGGTAAACATCTATGGAAATTATTCCCTGACAGAAAGGACATTAACAAGTGCTTGCCTTAACTTGTTCACAATGGCATTATCATGGCTGAGCACCAAACTGTGAGGTTCAATCATTTTGATTATATGATTTTTTCATTCACAGCTGCCTAAGGGTCTTCTTACAGGTAGGGGACCATCCTCCCTTACTACATAAAATGATATAATGTGCAATATTTGAATGTCCATCTCTAAGATTTGTTAGAACATGTTTTAAACTTGAATTAACTGAATTTATTTGAAAAGTGATCTTATTAACACATGAATACATGTTTAAATGTTAAATATACTGTATATTAAATAATTACAATATAAGCAAAACACAAGTTTCAGGTGTAGGCCATATTCCATTATACTTTTAGATCCTCAACTACCTAGATAGAACATAAGAAGGTAAGGTGAAACAAATGAAAGTGTTATATTTTGCCAAATTGTGACGATTATTTAAAATTATATATACATAATTAATTATAATTATTGATGCATTAAAGTGTTTATCACAGCTGGTAAATGTGCAGCTAGTTGTAATTACTTTGTATACTGCAGGGTAGCTTGTGAATTTACTTTAGGTGTAACTAAAGTCTTATTTAAGAGTTGATTATATTTCACATTATTAATCAAAATCTGCAAAGTAACTAAAGGTATTAAAGGTCCCATGTCATGCTTTTCCGGTTATTACCCGTCCCCTTGTGTGTTATGAAGGTTTTTATGCATGTAAACGGTGTGCAGAGTCACAAACCCTCAAAGTACACCCTGTAGTGAGTAAAACTCTAACACAGAAAATACCTGTCTATGCTGCCCCAAAACGACTCGTTGGAGATTTTTCTTTTTCTATTGTTTTCTTCCTGGGTACAGTGACGTGCCCATACCCAAATGGACCCATTGGAGCCGTGGAGCCGTTACGTTACGTCCGCGGAGCCGTTACGTTAAGTCCGTGGATTGGTCCAAATTGACCAATCCGCGGACTTCCTCACACACACACACACACTCAATCTTTTCTCAGCTGCAGCTCCGCCGATTTCTCCTCCCTGAGACGGCGGGACGCGGCGAGGCAGTTGGTCCTTCTCAGGTCGATTAAATGGAATCCTTGCGTCCCTCACTTGCGTCGTTTCCCTGCGTTTAGTCCCTCCCACCAGGGAAGCATGGAGAGACGCAAGGAAACCACGAGAAGCAGGGAAATGAGTTTTAAGAGCAATGGGACGTCCTTTCCTCTGGAGCGTCACGTGAAGCGACGTCCGTTTGTGATGACGCCGCACAGCTGTTCTTCTG